TAAAAGCTTCCAAAGTTAGGTGTAGTAGCTCATGCCTGGAATTCCAGCACTCAGGAAGCTGAAGCAGGAGGAACACAAGTTCTAGCCCAGCCCGGGCAGTTTAGTGGCCTAGGAAGACCGTGCCTCAAAATAAAAATAAAAAGGGCTGGGGATTTAGCTCATTGGTGTCACTGCCTGCTTTGAAAGCACAGGGTCCTGAGTTCAATCCCCGGTACCAAAATAAAATACAAATAAATGAATAAATAAAAGAGTCTGAAGATGTAGCTCAGTGGTAAGGCCCTGGATTCACTATCCAATACTAACAACAACAACAACAAAAAAGTTCTCTAAAAGGGCCGGGGATTTAGCTGGTCCTCACACTGTGCAGCACTGCAACCTCAAGACAAACCACGGAACTTCTGTTTCTCATCATAAAACAAGAATCCAGTGGTTTCACCGCCTGCTGTGCAAGTGCAAGGACCAGAGTTCAATCCTTGGTACCAAAAAACCCAAACAACAACAACAACAACAAAAATAATAATAATAAAAGTTCTCTAAAAGCTGCACATGGCGGTGAACACTTCTTGGGAGGAGCCAAGTAGTTACTGAGGTAGAAGGATCACAAGCTCAAGGCCAGTCTAGGCAATTCAGTGAAACGCTATCTCAAAATTTTTAAAAAATAAGAAAAGGACTGGGGCTGGTGGCACACACCTACAATCTCAACACAGAGGCAGGAGGATCATGAATTCCAGGCCAACCTGGGCTACGCCCTGTCTCAAAAAACTGAAACAAACCAAAAAGGGCCAAGGTGGAGCTCAACAGTAGTGTGCCCTTGGGCTGGATCCCTAGTACCACAACACACAAACAAAAAATAAAAAAATTTAAAATGCCCTCAAAATTAATGGAAAAGCCCCCACACAGGTCCTCTACATCTGGAGGATGAAACCTAAGCCCCTGAGTCTGAAATTTGAGGGCCTCCGTGACCGGAGCGGATCCCTACTGCTGGCACCCAGCTCACCCTGTCCCCTGGCCAGGGGAAGAAAGGAGACAGTCTAGTTACCAAACCTGCCTCAGCGCTACAACATCCAGGAGGACTCTGGTCCTCACACTGTGCAGCACTGCAACCTCAAGACAAACCACGGAACTTCTGTTTCTCATCATAAAACAAGAATCCAGTGGTTTCGCTGCCTGCTGTGCAAGAGCAAGGACCCGAGTTTGATCCCCAGTACCCGAAAAAAACCAAACAACAAAAAAACACAAAAAAACCCCACAAGAATCAGCTGGTGCAGTGGTGCACGCCTGTAATCCCAGCACTCGAGAGGCTGAGGCCAGAGGATTGCCTCAAGTTTGAGGACAGCCTGGGCTACATAGCGAGTTCAAGGCCAGCCTGAACTACAAAGACCTTTGAGGCTCACTGGTTCCGAGCAAGCATAGCAACTGAGGTGGAGGTCAGAGGAGAGGCTATGCCAGCCCACCCTTGAGCAGTCCCGCAGCAGCATCGGAGGTCAGAGGCTGTGTTCCTGCTCCCACCCTCTGTTCCGTTTCCCACCCCAGCCTGGAGACCTCATCCCCTTTCCCATCATTAATTAATTCAACAAAAAACTTCTGTGGTCCCGAGGATCAAATCCAGGGCCTCATGCATGCTAGGCAAGTGTTCTACCACTGAGCCACATCTGTGCCCTGTTCTTTGATTTTTAAGTGCAGCTGGTTTTTCTGATTTTACCTTAAATGACATCTGGCCAGGGAATAGCTGGCACAGTCTTAAAACCACATTAGCAAGCAGGAAGCTGGGCCCACTGTGGTCTCAGCTCGAGTGTCAGGTAGCAGAGGTTCCTTCCTACAGGTGAGTTCCAGGGAACACAAGCAGCTGCCCACAGCCGTATTCCATTTCACATTTAGCCCACTAGCCCAGTTCTTCCGAGGGAGAAAACCCTTCCTCCCCATGAAGCATGTTGCACTGTGACTGCAGGCCGGGTGCCTACACACCTGGAGAGAACCCAGGGCAGGGACTGTGGGTCCTATGCCTGGTCCTCTAGCTCCTCCAATGGCCCTAACCTGTCACGGATGCTCCAAGACGTTGTATAAATGACCACAGCCTGGTTTGTGCCTTCCTGGGCCCACCAGAAGTGTATTTATGATAACACTGAGTGCATAGCAAGGACTGAGCTCTGAGCAAGTTTTTCTTTAGTTACACAGCAGCAATGCTGAATTCTTGGAAGGAAAATATTTTGTTTGTTTGTTTGTTTTGGGGGGTTTTTTTTTGGTACCAGAGATCGAACTTGAGACCTTGCGCTGTGAGGCAGGCGCTGGAACCACGGAGCTAAATCCCTGGCCCTTGGAAGGAAAATATTGAGTATTGACTCTGCCCTGACATTACTATCTTAGAAGTATTGTGCATTAACCAATTGTGCCACTGGGGCCACACACAGACATGTTCCTAAATACTCTACACGTGCACCTCATTTTATAGACAAGGCCACTGGCGCTGAGACATGAGAGGGCAAGTGGCTTGGTCAAGGTCACTTACCCAGGTCAACTCTTGCGCGAATTAATCAGAATTCAGGCAGGAGTTAGGCTCCAGGGATCAACCCAGTGGCCTGCACGCTTAACCTCTGTGCTCCACTGCCACCACCAGTAACAGGGTGAAGGGGCAACAGGGGCCTCTACATGAACAGCAACTCAGAATCCGTGTGGCTCCACAGCCTTGTCCCTCAGCTGCTCTTTGAGCACAGGTCCTGCAAGGAGGGGTGGGTAGCAAGAACCAGCAGAACCACAGGGGAGAGTCCTGGTATTCTGGCCACGAGCTCAGGAGGCCCAGAATGTGTACCTGGGGGTGGTGGTGGTGGATATGTGTGTGTTAAGAACAAGATACTAATTGTAGAAAATGTAACAATTATCTACAAGGACACAAGATTATGTATTTCTGCATATCTACATAAACTGGCCACTCTTCACCAATTAGAGCTGAGAGTGGAAAGCTGTCTCTCACAGTGGAACCAAGAGAAATAAACACAAGGACCCCTGAGATCAAGAAAACATCTGTAGACTCAATTTGGAAACTCACTGCTTTGTTTGGAGTGAGTTACATTAATGTGATTATAAACCCAAATGCAAACCTACACATGGCAGGGCTGGGGATGTGGCTCAAGGGACTGCACTTGCCTAGCAAGCATAGGGTCCTAGGTTTGATCACTAGCACTGCCAAAAATAAATAAATAATAAAAAGAAATCATATATACTTAGTATCGTACAATTCAGTTTTACTACAGAGAAATCACAGATCCTGCAAAATCTAAGGATAACTTAAAAAGTCCTGCGACAGAGGAGTGAGTGCCCCTCAGGGTTTTCTCTTTTTTTTTTTTGAGACAGGGTCTCAATGTGTGTAATTTAGGCTGACCTCTAACAGGCAGTGATCCTCATATATATTTTATACCCGGGATCAAACTCCGGTCCTTGCACTTGCACAGCAGGTGGCGAAACCACTGAGCTAAATCCCTGGCCCTGTGGCAGTGATCCTCTTGCCTCAGCCTTCCGAGTGCTGGCTTTTCAGATGTACACCACCATGCCGGGCTCCTAGGTCTTTTCTTTTTCTTTCTTTTTTTTTTTTTTTTGGTACCGGGGATCAAACTAGGGTCCTTGCACTTTCGAGGCAGGCGGCGGAGCCACTGAGCTAAATCCCCGGCCCTCCCAGGCTTTTCTGACTTGCAGACTCTCAGAGGTGTTGGATTCCAGAACTCTGGGTTTCCACAGCCTCACTGCTTGCCTACCTCCAGAAAGGCTCTCCACCAGGCAAAAACTGCTCAGTTTGCATTAAACAATCAGGCAAGGTGATTTGCTTAAGCTTTGAACTACAAGGGTGGCAGGGCACACAGAAACCTTCATTCCCTATAGTTACTCTTCCTTGGTCATGCTCATTAGCTTCCCTTCAACTGCTGCCTGTCTGTGGGAAAAGAGAACACAGGGCTGGGATGAGAGCCCCAGCTGTCAGTTTTGGCCTGAGCTCTTCAACTGGGTGTCACTGATATTTTGGGCAAGCATACTTTTCTGAAGGCCCCTTCCCTGTTTACTTCAGAAGGTCGTATTAAATAAAGGAGTGAAACATTTAGAAAACTTAATGGCATCTAACATATACAAGGTTTATTATTATCTCTGGCCTTTTCTCCTGCAGCTGCAGAAATGCACCGTGTTGATAACAGTCTGGCCCCAGAGAGGTGAAGGTAGGTGACAGCTCTCAGCCCAAATGGACAGCCCTGACCGCCTTCCAAAGTCAATAATTGGGGACTATCTGCAGCTTTAGAGCATATTTACTTTTCTATCACTGATATAAAAAGAGCTGACTATATTTAGCACTATGTTTTATTTGGTTTTCTTTCCCTGAGTCAGATTGGAACTGTTTCTTCCCACCCTACCCTTCTTCCCAAGTTGAGAGTTCCCCAAAGGCAAAGATCGCTTCCCTTTTTGGCCACGCAGCTCTCTAAATGCGTCCTTCCCTCAACAACCACCGCACCCGGCCGAGAATAGGAAATCTCGAAGGATGGGAACCACGTCTTTGGGCTCTCTTTCCACGCCTCAAGTGAGATTACTCAATGGAGGGGAGGCTCAATGGAGGGGAGGCTCAATGGAGGGGAGGCTCAATGGAGGGGAGGGCCCCCCCAAGGGACTGAAGCATTCAGTAAAGGCCAAAAACAAATTAAAATGTCGCAGGTACCTTCTAATAACTGATCTCCTTAGATGGCACGTGCATCAGACAATGGGACTTTAGTGGTGGTAAAAAAATTCAGAGCACCAAGGGGCAGAAAGATCCAGATTTGTATACTGATTTTTGTCACCTCCTAGCTATGTGACTGTACTTCACTTTCCAGTCTGTGAAATGGGACCCACCTCAAGGCTTCTTGTGAGGACAGAACGGGCTCTGACACGAAAGCATTCCCCGGGGCCTGCACGCACGCGCTCACTGAGGGGTCGTCGCGGAGGCTGGGGGGGGGGTGCGGCGGGCGCGGCGAACCCGGGGAGCCCAGTACCTGGAGGGGGAGGCGGAGGCGAGGCGACTCGGGGTCGGGGAGTCCGCCGCCTTCTCGGAAGCCGGGGCCGTCCTGCGGCCCGCCGAGGAAGGCCCGCAGCCTTTGGTTTCTCACAGAGTACCCGGGATGGAACGGTCCTTAACGGCAGCCGTTAACGGCTCCTCTGCGGCCCGGGGAGGACCAGCGGCGAGATGAAGACAACTGACCTGGACCCTCCACGCCCACGCCCCGAAGCCAGAACGTACTACAACTCCCGGCAAGCCCCGCGGGCGCGGGCCTCTTCCCTTCAGAGCAAGGCCGTATGCCGTGATTCCGCGAGTGCGCCTGGCCTCATTGCCTTGTGGGTATTGTAGTTCACCTTATTCAGGTTTCCAGAAATGAGCCACGCTCTTTCCCCTAGAAAACGACAATACCCAGAATACAGCGCAAGCCACCCTGGCCCAATAGGAGCGCCCCATGTAACGGGGCTCGGAGCCCGGCGCTGGCAGCTCAAGATGGCGGACGACAGTGAGACAGCAGTGAAGCCGCCGGCACCTCCGCGGCCGCACATGATGGAAGGCAACGGGAACAGCCATGAGCACTGCAGCGATTGCGAGAACGAGGAGGACAACAGCTACATCCGGGGGTAACGAGATCCTCGGATTCCAGTTCCCATCCAGTCTCCCACAGTTTGGGTGTCAGGGTGCGGGGAAGTCACCGGGAGCTTAGTCTAATCCCACCTCCATATTCTTATTGGCTAAGACATTAGGATCCTGCCGGGCGATTGGTTGGTGCCTTTGTCATTTACCAAGGGTGGGCGCTTGGTATATTGAGAGCCGGAGACATTCTATACTTTTATTATATAAAAGTTCTTCTGTGTGATGTTCCACTCGTATTCTTCAGGCGCGTTCAGGGGAAAGAGCATGTTGAACGATGTTTTTCGGTCGCACTGCGCGGGCAATCTAGTTTAACTACAGTCCTGGGGGAACGTTAGTTACAGAGGTGTTGTGTGAACAACGTGACTAGCAGTAAACGAGTAATAAAACATTTCCCTGGAGTTCACTTTCAATAAGGAGATTCACCAGGCTGTACAAACATGTATGTAATTATGTTGTAAAGTATCACAGAGAATCCCAAAATACAAACTCACCTTATAAACAGTGTAATTAAGCATATGATAATGTTTTGGTTTATACGAGGTTGCCCCAGATAATCCTTGTTCCCTGAAAAATATATAAGTAGGTCTTGGAACAACTTCCTCTGTTAACTGCGAAACCTTCAAGAAATTGATCAATGCTTCTTGGACAGCGTTCAGTGCTTGCGGGTTTAATACTTGCACGTTAGGTTCTTGCCATTAGAAACTACTCTTATTTGTAACTCGGGGAGAAAAACCACTAGACATTTGAGTGTTGAGTATTTTTTTTTTCCAAATCAGTTTTAACTTTTGTGAGCCACAGCTTAACATTCATTTTCATATTGTTAGTATTTAGTGCTCTCTCTCTTGCTTCCTGTCTGTATTTACGTGTGTGTGTGTGTGTGTGTGTGTGTATATATATATATATGTGTATGTTTTGGGGTTTTTTTTGTACAGTGGATTGAACTCGGGTCCTTGCGCTTGCGAGGCAGGCGGTGGAACTACTAAGCTAAATCCCTGGCCCTTGCATGTATATTTTAAAACTGAAAGCCATGAGATACTCTTGCTGAGTCTGTGGTGACCTGATTGTTATAGCTAGCTTGTTGTTCGAAGTAACTGCCAACTCATGGCCTCCTCCCAGCTCCAGGTAAAGAAGAGGCAAAGGTAGAAGGCTAAAGTCTTTGGATAAACTCTTTTATTTTGTTTTTATTCTGCTACCTTGTAGAGATGGGAAAGAAAAGGATTAAGTGGTTAATAATCTGCTTGTGGTGAATGGTAGAATAAAGGATCTAGCATTCTTATTCTTCAACCAGCATGAAAAATCATAAGAATGTAGAGAAAAAGGAAGCTTACCAAATTTGGTCTTTGTGACTGTTCTGTTATAACTCAACAGGTGCAGTGTAACACAAGCCTTATTTTTAAGTTTGATATTCCTAAGAAGGGAGGAGCTGAGAAATAGGAAGTAGGAATGGGAAGAAGGGAAAGGCAGCCCACTTGGATAGATACACACATCAGAGATGAATTGTTGAAGGTGAAAGTCATTTCAGAAGTGAAAGTATGGCCTTTTCTTGCCTCTTTATGTAATTGTTTTTATTGTTCTCTACTAAACTGTTGGCCTGATCGATGTCTACAGTTCTTTAATAGGTTTTGTTTCCTATGAACTGTGAATTACTTTGCAAAACTGTTTGCCATGGCTGGTGATGTGGCTCAGCAGTAGAGCATGTGCCCAGGATGTGGAGGCCCTGGGCTCAATTCCCAGCACAAAACAAGAGAGGGGCTTCGGTTATAGCTCAGGTAGGGTGCTTGCCTTGAAGGCACAAAGCCCTGGGTTTGAGCCCCAGCACTGTAAAAACAAAACAAAGAAAGAAAGGAAGAAAGAAAGACCTGTTCCCAGAAAGTTCTTTGTAGTACAACAACAAAATGGTAACCAAAAAACAAAGCAAAATGAAAAAAGCCTTGGAAGTGGTTTGTTTTCGTTACTGTATGTGATTATGTTTAGGATGAGCAAATCACATTTATTAGCATCCCACATCTAGAGGGTTGTGAAATGGAATTAGGAGGTGGCAGGTGGAATGCAGAGAGCACAATCTGAAAGAGAGTCTGATTCTGGTGCTTACATTCTGGGATAGGATCAGCATTTTCTCTTTCACTTTCTTTTTTTTTTTTTTGTACCGGGGATCGAACTTGGGTCCTTGCGCTTGCGCAGCAGGCAGCGAAACCACTGAGCTAAATCCCTGCCCTTCTCATTCACTTTCAACACTTTCCCTGTTTTGGGAAAAAGCAAAAGCAACGTGGCACTTTGGGAAAAGTATGGATTCTGGTTTGAAAGCCTGGTTCTGAAGCTTGTTAGTCCTGTGACCGTGGGAATACTACTTAACCTAGAGTCCTTGTACAGATTAAATGAGCGAAGCACCTGTAATAGTTTCTCCCTGTTCTTTCTTCTGCTTTTCTGTAGTTTTCCTATAATCTTTCTATAATCTTTCCCTTTCCTCTTATCACATTCTGTATTTTTGTAGCTTTTCCTATAGCAATAGTTAAATAGTACATCTGATAATTTTATTTAATGTGTCCAGTCCCTGCCTGACTTGACCATTGTATACATGAGCACAGAGATTGTCTTCAATGCCTGGTGCTTAGTGGGTATTAATGAATATTTGTTGGGTAAATGAATAGGAAATGTTAAAGTGCCTGGCCCTGTGTTAGTAGAGTTTCATTTCCGATCACTGAGTGAAGGATATTAGTTATATTTGTCTAACATACACACTTTCTTTCCATAGCAAGCCTTACTATAATTTTTGTGAGTTGCCTATAGATATCAAGCAACTTCTAGTTTGTTGTAGAAGTCCTCCACTGTTTTTTTTATTCTTGAAATGTTTTTGTCTTTACTTAATATTATTTAATATGTTTTCAAAAGTCACATAAGAACTGAAGCCGGGTGTGGTATCACGTGTCTATAATTCCAGTATTCGGGAGGCTGAGGCAGGAGGATCAACATGAGTTCAAGGTCAGCCTGGACTACATAGCAAGAACCTTGTCCAAAAATCAAAACAAGATAAAAAATAAAAATTGAAGGGGACTTTTCCTTTCTATGCTAATGATTCTAAAATAAAAACGTAATAAAAGTTATGGTAGTTAAAGCTAACTCTTTTTCTCTTAGGCCTCTCAGGATGGATTCATAGTGCTTTATACTAATGAGGTCATGTACTGAATAAATAAGAAACACAACTGTGCTAGTTATGTTTCTTTGTGTCTGAGTTTAGTTTTTGATGTTTGCAGTTAGTATGTTTCCTCTATAGTTAAACAAACATTTGGTGAGTATAAAACTTTGTATATATATACATAAATACGTACATGTACACTTGGGCACATACACATGTGCCATTTGATACATCACAAGTGTATACATCTGTCTACAAGTGTGTATGTCTAGTCCAGGCTGTCTACATCTGTCTAGTTTTTCTTGTTTCATTTATTTTGATACCAAGGTTTTTTTTGGGTTTTTTTGGTACCAAAGATTGAACACAGGTCCTTGTGCCTGCGGGACAGGCGGTGGATCCACTGAGCTAAATCCCCGGCCCGATGATACTAAGAACTGAATCCAGGGGATTCTCGATGAGCTGCCTCCCTAGCCCTATTTTTACTTTTTATTTTGAGACAGGGTTTTACTACATTGCTGTGTTGCCCAGCCAGGCTCAGATTTGACAATCCTGCCTCAGCCTGGGATTACAAGTGAGCACCAATATGCCATGCTCTGTCTACTATTTTACTATGAACTGTTTTAAAACACACACATTTGTGTCTAGTATGCATAAGATCCTGGGTTCAGTCCCCAGTACGGCAAAGGAAACCAACATACTCAACAGAGGAAAACAGGTCAGCATTCCCCCAGTTTACTTGCTTGACATAAATTATCTTGAACAGGGGCCGGGGATTTAGCTCAGTGGTTCAGGTGCCTGCCTTGAAAGTGCAAAGTCCTGAGTTCGATCCCCAGTACCAAAAGAAAAAAAATTACCTTGAACAACTGAAAGGGAAGTCAGACTAAGATGATCTTTGTGCAGCATCCCTCTGCAGTTCCTAACGTGTGTATATGGTTTAATCTGCCTTTTCTCCCCCCTTAGTTCATTGAGAGTGGGTCTCACGAGGTATTCCAGGGTGACCTCAAGCTCACAGGATCCTCCAGGTGCTGGGGTTACAGGATGCGCCACCACACGTGGCTCACTTTCCCTTAGGGGTGCAGTATGAGGGATGGAGCCCAGGGCCTCATGTGCTCTGTCATGGTGCTACATCTGTACCTCCACTTTTTTTTTTTAAATGAAAGGCTTTTCAAGAAGTACTGCTTATGAACAACGATCCTCAGGAGCTTGTGGTAGATTTCAATTTTGGGGGAGCAGATAAGCAAAGTATGGGGGTTCTGGAAGAAGAAAGCATTAGACTGTTGTTCCTAGCCTCCTTTGGGACTTACTCTGCAGTGTCCTGAATGAGGGTTTGCTGCTGCTGGCAGCTCTCGTCCAGCCCCTTCCCTGCTCCGTGGGCAGCTTGGCTTTGTCCTTTCCAGTACTGGGGTGGAACCCAGGATCTTCTCACTCAGCCGCATCTCCAGCCTTTTTTAATTTTTAAATTCTGAGACAGGGTCTCATTAAGTCACTGAATGACCTAGGCTGGGCTTGAACTTGGTGAACCTCCTGCCTCAGCCTCCTGGAGTGCTGGGCTACAAGGGTGCGCCCCCACACCTGCCTTAACCTTAGACGTCTCCTCATTTCCAGTTTGTAAAATATCCTCACCTATTAAATGCCTTCTCAAGAAGAGGTTTCTGAAAACAGATCCCATAAGGCTGCCCTTCCTTGCTTGTTTTCTTCAGATTCTCCAAGAGTGGCTCTTTTCATGTTTATATGGTGGCTTGTGATTACAGTAACTGCATTTAGCCTTTGGAAAGAAGATGTTTTCTTTAGTCCCTTTTTCTTCATTTCTGCCTTCAGCTTTTGGTTTTTGAAAACTAGATCAAAGCAGAGATG